GAAAATTCAGCACATTCCCTACACACCATTAAGGTGATTCGATGGACGCTATATTTTGTGTCAGAACGTCATGCGATATATCGCATCAATTGGTTCCATTTTTTCAGCTACTCGTCATTTTTCTCCAATTTTGAGATAGCAATTCTGTTGTCAGGAGACTAAAGCATTCACTTACCAATTTTGACAAAGAAATTCAATGTAATAAAGGCGTGGTTTTTTTAGAGAGAAAATATTGCATTCGAAAGCAGTTTCGATATCAGTATCGAATGCAATATTTTCTCTCTAAAAAAACCACGCCTTTATTACGTTAGATTTCTTCGTTAAAATTGGTACGTGAGTGCTTTAGTCTCCTGACAACAGAATTGCGATCTCAAAATTGGAGAAAAATGACGAGTAGCTGAAAAAATGGAACCAATTGATGCGATCGCATGCAGTTCTGACACAAAATATGGCGTCCATCGAATCACCTAATTGTAAAATAGACGATTTTAGTGGTGACGTCGTGGAGCGATATTGGTGGTTCGATATCTCGAAAGTCGAAATGTGCCCCAACAAACAAACATAACCTCCAAAATGAACAATTGGCGAAATAATGCTAAAACTAGATTGAAACCAAACAATTAATCCATTGGACTTTAAAATTATGAAAGCTACTCATTTACCAAAACGTTTGAGATCACAATCACAAGAATTGATTGTAAAATAAACTCGTAATATCATAGACAGCCATCAAGCGAATACCCCTACCCCCCCTGCCTATATCCCGCAGATTCCTCCATGTTCATTTGTTGGGGCACGTTTCGACTTTCGAGGTATCGAAATTATAACGAGATGTGACGTCACACTAAATTCGTCCATATCCAGGTTTCCGCGCAATCTGGCAACCTTGCATCCGTGCAACGTGCAACGCGTTACCGTACCGCAAACCGGACACAGTCCCAGAGCATTTCCCGGTTGCGAATTCGCACGATAAAAACAGTCCGTTTCGTATCGATCAAAATAGATAGCTGGGATAATTTGTCAGCGATTTCGAAGCACGAGCACGTTGCACCCCGGGAGGAGATGGAGTGAGGTTTGCTTTTAATTAATGGACCCGAGTCCAGACATCCCGGCGAACACTTCGATCATTACTTTCCTTCCCCGTTATTATGGATATATTTTCATTTACCTGTTTTTTGATGGATTTGTGCTCCTCTCCCTGTCTGCTCGGCTTGGCTAAGGAAAAACGACGGATGAGCTTTCGGATGTTGCCAAATTTCTCCCCAGTGAAATATTTCCCCCCCTTTAATTCTTGAAATTTTCAGATATTTTAGATTAAATCTCGATTAAAAATGTTTGAAAAATTAAAAGAAAAATACTCAAAATTTTCCGGGTAAATTCGCCTTTAAAAATTGAGCTGAATGGGGCACATGGGTCTTTAAACTCGAAGGTGAGTTTCGAACACTGCCCGAGGATATCTCCAATTGTTGAGAAATATTGAAAAATATCCAGAGGTCAATAAGACGTATGACGTGTGTGACTCATGCTCTTTAATAATTCTTATTTTAACACCAGAAAGTTGACAATTCTTAAGAGCAAAGTATTCATGAAGCAATGTGGCGTGGCTCTCAGAAAAATCTGATGATAAAATTACATTACAGGCCATGTATTTATAAGCTGGACGGAAGAGAAAATGTTGATGAATGTGTCGCCAAAAAGTTGATTTTTCTTAACCTCCACTTGCCCGATTAACATTAAGCCATATAAGCCGGCAAGACTTCAGAATGATTGATCGAGGGAGTATGTGGAAGTGGGTGACGTACAAAGACCGTATTCGTCTTGCGAACCGCTTTTTGGTGTAAAGAAACTGATATGAGTGAAAAAAGAAACGACAAGCACTGGAGAAAAATTAAACGTTTCAAAATGTTAGTGGAATGTGCTGAAATGTGTTGAGATTCTCTGTAAGAACACATCATCTTAGTTAACTTTACACTCACTTCATCGATTATCGTGGCCTTAACGATAATCCTATACATCTCACGGACTGATTGCGGTAGAAGCACGAAAAAAATCGTAAAAATCTAGAAACTTAGAAATCTCAGAACAGAGTTAAAAAGTTCATTTGATCACGACGTTCCATCCAAGCTGTTTGTTCTGTAACTAGTGTTACATCAAAGCGTACCTCTTGGAGGACAATTGTGCTAAAATAAGCTTCTTCCCTCGGTATTGAGATTTCCAGTTCTTTGGATTTTTAACAGTGGCGTGGCGTCCTTTGCGATATATCGATTGATCTGCCATTTAAACCGATGGCAAAGGATCGATTAACAGGGTGTTCGCAACGAACACTTTAATAATCGATTCTTCACCATAGTTTCAAATGGGGAAATATCGATAATCGACCATTCACGCCTGGCCACTGATTTTTAACGCGCGTTGGCTAAAAATATCCAACTTAATCCTATATCCATTAAAATGATGCCGAAGTCCCTCACACGTTATCTCCTTTTACACTATGGTAAACATGACGACATTACGTGCAGCAATGTCACATGTCCTTAAATTTTCTACTAACGGAGAGTAAAGGACGTTTTTGAGAACTTTTTAATCTCCAACTGCGGGCTGACGTTTGCAAAATTTAAGCAGCACAATAAGACATCGAAATACGATGTATAGCACGGTAACATTACCGCCGTGCTAAGGAAAAACGTCGTATGAACCCTCGGGTGTTGCCAAATTTCTTTTGGTAAATCATGCATTTCTGAGAAAATTTGTTAATATTTTTCCTCCAATCTTTCAGATAATTTTGTTGGCAATTTCACCTCAATTTCCTGAAAAGTTTCGAAGAAAAATATTCAGAGCTCCTCTCAAAAGTAAAAATTTTATCGATTGAAAGTTGGCAACTCTCGAATTTTTATACGGCGTTTTTCCTTAGCACTTCAAAATAGGGCTGTGTCAAGTCCTGCCGTGCCGACATAGTTTCAAATATTCAACCGCCGGACTAAGAATCTAGTTATTATATGTAAGCTATTTACACTGTGATTCCTTCAAACGCAAAGTCTCAACCGTCAGAGAGGGAGAATGAAACTTCCCACATAGAACCTTCTATTTGAAATTTTAGCATCCCGAAAAGGAAATAACTCATTTATTTCCAATGAAGGAAAATATCACCTCTTTCGAAAAACTTCACCATAGGTTTGAACGACACGGTGCACTCCATCCGTAATATCCCCGTGAGGATATGGATGAATGGTGAGATACACCGTTTTATCGCGCAAACCCACCGACCAAACCCTCGTCATTGGATAAATAAAACATGCCTAGTTCGAGAGCACTCCATGACAGGGTCTCGCCGGAAAAAGAAGCAGACGCAAAGAAAAATGAGCCAGTTGAAGGGGCGAGGAAGCAAGTCTACCAGATTGCACTGGATCCCCGATTTCCATCTCGGAAGCTTCATGTAGTTTAATCAAATGTAAACGAGCAGTCTGATTTGTTCAAACGACACACATATTTTCATGATGTACACCGCACAAACTGCAGAAACCAAAATTTAATTTCGTTTGATTCGATTTTGGAAAGTAATTTTTTTCATCCTTGACGCTTATATCAGTATTTTTTCAGATTTATGGTTGGATTTGGATGCAATTTTACTTATAAAAACTCAAAGTGCCTTCAATTTTGAAGTATGCAACAAGCACATCCATCGACCACGAAAAGTTGCATCAAGGAGCTGTTATTAACGTTAAGTGACATGTATTGCCCGAGGCACCATTCTGAATGATATTAACATTGATGACTTTGGTAAAGATTAACAGAAACACACAAAGTTGCATCAGCTTTGAGCCAATATTAAAATATTTGAAAGTTGATTCCTCCAGAAAACTCAACATGTAAGAAACCCTTTTCAAATTTTTGTTTTTTTAAAGAATGATGGTACAAATATACAGGATTAGAGCTTTGAAGCGCTCATCCGATAGGTAGCGCATTTTTATCTCAACCTGCTTATTGAATTCTAGTATACCAGTGGCAATGCGTTCAAATGACGCACCAGCTTCACAACAAGATGACGGAGAGGGGCCTAACACATTTAGAAGAAATTAGTCTGTGCTACTTACATTTAATACTTCTTATGTCAAAGTACGGAGGACTTTAGAAGTTTTCCTATAATTTATTTTTTCAGAGTTAGTGTAGTTTTCTCAAAATTGATGGTTGAAATTTCGTTGGGCGAGTTCTTTCATCCCAATGGTGTCATCTCTCTTGTGGAACTTAAAAACGCTACTTAGAAAACAGCTAAGCGCTTCTCTCATTAAATCATTTCCGCTTGATTTCCATTTAGACTAATTTCCCTTAAAAGAACAGCAGCCTGATTGTTGAAATTTTGTGTTTATCAGGTAGACATAGATGACATAGGTTGAGAGGCGGACCGTAATTGGTCGGATATGTCTTATTACCGCTTCGTCGTGCCCAGGTCGGGTGGAATTCACGACAAGCTAAAGGCACCTGTTAAGTTAGTGTTCGACAGTATGTCGTCCATTCCACCTTAAAAAGGTACGGTAAAGCAGCGATAAGACATAGCCGACCAATCACGCTCCGCTTTTTAACCTATGTCATCTATGTCTACCCGACAAACAAAAACACTGGAAAAAAAACACATTGGATCTAGAGTCCAGACTTTTGAAAACATTGACAGGAAAAGGACTCTTGATTCAATCAGATTTAAGCTTAAATCGAAAGGAAATCCGCTCAAATTAAGAGGCTTGGTTCTTGATTTAAGCTAGATTCTGATTGAATCAAGAGTTCTTTTTCTTGTCGATGTTTTTAAGAGTCTGAACTCTAGATCCAATGTATTTTTTTTTCCAGTGAAATTTTAACAATCAGGCTGCAGTGCTGCAAATCTACGAAATTAAAGCTTAGTTCCTCGTTTCATTCGTGAGTATTTGTAGTTGCTTCATCGGTGAGACCGAATCGGGGTGTCTGCCTGCAATGCGACAGCCTTGCTTCCGACCGGGGATGGCTCTACCTACCATAAATCCGTCATAGGTCCAGCTGCCGAACTTGAGGACACAGGTTTGCTCGTCGAACGGGAAATACTCGACGTCTATCTCGCACGAAGACTTGTAAATTGCCGGCGGCTTCCACTCGACGAGGCCCTGGTTATAAATGGTCGCTTTCGTCGCCAGGGTCACCTCGAAGTTCCCGTCAGCGCTGAAAAACACGGGCTCAGTAACACACGGCCACCCTCAAACACCTCAAACACATCCGACACTGAGCCTCATCTCGCTCACTTTACAAATTCGTGTTGTTGTATAGGATGCTCGGCTATTTTTAGATTATTTTATCCTTATTACAATGTTAACTTATATCATAAATAATTGATAAATAATTTTGTTGTTATTTTATACATTTATTTATAGGTGCTTTAACAAAGCTGGGTTGCGATATTGTGATTTCGTTAGGAAAGAAGTCTCCAAAGGAAAACGTGCTTAAAATATTTTTCTTTTATAAATCTATTCTCATCAGAAGATTTTTGTGTGAATATGCATATATTTTACCTATTCACTGAGAGATTTTTCTTGTAATTATGTCAAAACAGCACGAAGATTACGTGCCCATAATTTATTTTAAAAATTTCATTTATTTCGCTTGAACGATAGTTTTCTTCATTTTTTCGGCAGAAGCTGAAGTTAGGAGCGTTACCTAAAGCAAGGAATCTCTAGTGAAAAACGCATCGTAAACAGGTTTTTGCCATTTTTTTTTTCTTTTTACATTAATGAGTACTTATTATTTAGTCTAATGAATTTTGAACGATAGTTTTTATTTTGGACTATTTAAGCAAAATCATATGCTATGGTTTACGTATTTTAAAAGCACGAGGAGTTGTTGAGGTGTATCTCCACCAATAGAGTTTGATCACGTTAGACTTGATAAAAGTTGTTATTCGGTTGCACGATGGTAATTTAACATGAAAAAAGATCGATGCAGTCTATGAGTTTTGAAAATCCTAAACCTGTTTATATATTTAATCACAATTAATTTAGCAACGAAAATCCTCATTACACTCCCAATATTAAAGTAGACAATTATTTCCGAAAACTAGACAAATGATTCATAAATGTTCTATTAAGAGATGAAAGGGACTTATTTTTTTTTCCGAACGGCGATTATCAAATCCTAAATTATTATGTAAAAATCAATTTTATTAAAAATCTAAAAACAAACAGATTGGAACAAGAGAGGGGAAGGAATATATTACAGAGAAAAACACTGAAAAAGTACACTTAAGTGGAAAAAGACACAGTCATTAATGCAGAAGGATACAAATACGAGCATAAGAAAATGAGAAGAAGAAATAATATGAGAAATCAAAAATATAGAATGTGGAGCATATGCAGTATGGGCAATTTACTTAGCAAATCATTACATTTTCTCGGTTCAAATGCAAAATTGTGTTTTTTACTAACAATTTTTACTTGAAATAAGGCGTCGGTCTGGGCCAGAAATTGGAGTTTCCATTGCAAAATGTAGTCCAATTAAAATTGAACATGACGCTACAAAATTGATTAAGTGCACACATACCCACTCGATACTAAGCATACACACAGAGATTTGAAAAAAGTGTATCTTTGAATCATATGCTTTAGGATATACGTGATATTTTAATCGTAGGCACAATCCAGGCTGCAGGCCGATTATTGAAATTAACAAGAAAAGTGATAGACAAGGAAAGGAAACTAAAGATAAAGCGAGAATAAACTGACATAGAAGGTAAATACGACAGACTAACTAACGGCAACCCCCCACGAGAGACCCTGTGGTTAGTCCATCACTTTCCCCATAGTCTATGAAAATGACACGATTCAACGAATAGGATCGCTCCATGGTCCTTATGTCTTCTTTGTCTATGGCTTTGTCTAATAAATTAGATAGTCACATTTGTCTCCACATTCGGTGCCGGAACTCTTGCAACTGGCCTATCAGGCTAAAAAATTCAAGGCTACATTGACCCGGTTTACTGATTTCAGTCGAGTTCAACCAACTTGGCACCTCTAAAACACTAACATTAGAACACAAGTGCAGCACCATTTATTTGAACCTCGGAAACGGGTCAATGTTTTATTAATGGGTATTTCTAATGAGCGTGACACTTGTAATCTTATTAAGTGCGAATTGATTTAACTACCGTCCCTTTGCAGCATTTACAAAGTCCGACTACGTGATTTGACACATTAAACATAATTGATCGGTCTGCTTGAACGAGCGCTAATTCACAGAGACTCGCGACGTAAATTTCAAAGCGGTAATCATAATAACGCGAGACTCTATTCAAAAACTTCAGAACAAATGAACTGGAATGAATAGGAACATGCATCGCTTATTCATATTCATTCGGTCTTTTTTTTTATGCTAAAATGTCCTCTTTGATCCCGAATGAAAGTAATTCTTACTTAAAAAATGGTTTAACTCTTTCCAACAAAAAAAGAACGGACACATTCATTTCAGCGATTTAAACAGCTATTTCTACTCCTGAATATTTAATCACGGTAATAGCTGTTAAAAATTTGTCCAGTCTTTCTTCTTCTTGACGATAAAGTAAAGAAAATGATCTGTCCGGCACAATAGTAACATCTACAATGCAAGGAATGCGTCGCGTGCAGTGATATTGCTCGGTTATAATGAAAACCCCCAAATGCAACTATTCGAGCTCTGCAGTCACCCAAATTGCATATAGTATGTAATGCAGGCGCTTTTTAAGCCCACAGCAACGACCTTCACCCCATTCGCCTCTTCTTGAGTTGCTCGCCTGGCGTTGTGTCGAAAAAGATAGGAAATTTTGAAACATACCAGTGGAGTTACACAGTTGGTAATTTCAACCATTGATATCGTATTTTTGAGACAAAGTGGCATAATTTTCAGATATTTTAAATTAAATTGTGTACAAAATTGTCTGAAAAAATTGAAGGAAAATATCGAAAAATTTCGTTGAAAATTTGTATTTTATCTGAGGGAATTTGGCAACGCTTGAAAGCTCCATAAGACGTTTTTCCTTAGCACGGCAGTTCTGTCATTGATAACATTTACACTCAGAATACACGAAACTGAAGCTAGATATCCACCTCAATTCGGTGATAGGTCAAAAAGTCCAAAAAAAATGTCCAAAAGTCAAAATGTCCAAACCCTGAATGTCCAAAAATCTAGAAAGGCCAAATATCTGTAATGTCCAGCAGACAGATAAGTCCCAAAGTAAACAAATGTCCGAATTAATGGAAAGAGTAATTGTCCTTATAAGCAGCGTGACGTTGATGCAGGAAGTTGTTAAGGACAAGAATACTTTTTTTTTGTGGCTTTTCATAACAAACGGGGCAATATTAGCCATGTTTGTTCTTTTTGTCAACATCACTTAAAGTTTGGAAAATAAACCACTAATGCATTTTTATAAGTAAGAATTTGCCTGCTTTCATGAAAAATTCCATCACCATTTTTCCTAACCTGCACATCTCCATTATTCGACGCATCTGTTTCTATGACTGAACATTTTGACTTTTGGACATTTTTTTTGGACATTTTGACCTATTCTGCCGTGCTAAAGAAGAACGCCGTAGGAGCCTTCAGACGTTGCCAAGTTCCCTTCGATAAAAACCGAAAATACAGGGAAAATTGCGAATATTGTTTTCCGAAATTTTCAGACAGTTTTGTACGCAGTTCGATCTAAAATATCTGCAAATTTCGAGGAAAACAATGTATAAATGTTGTCAAAAAGTACATGCTTGTACAAGTGAAATTTGGCAACTCTCGAATGTTCATACGGCGTTCTTCCCTAGCACGGCAGTATTACCCTCAATTCAAACTTATCCAGCGTAAGCGCAATGAAAGATCTACTCTCTGCAAAAAGTAGTGATCTTCTAGTCCGGGTTCTTATGTACTCCCGTGGAACGGTAAGTGAAGCAAGTGTGGAAAATATCTTAATCTCTTCATTTCGATGCGTAAAAAAATAATTTCGATGTTGTCAAGCTCAATTTTGCGTCTAACCCCCCAAAATCAAGATGGCGGCCAAAATGGGGGCTCGGGGGGTGAAAATTATGGAATTTGATTTTGATGTCATGGTTGGGGTCAATTCT